TCTCAGCGTTTACTGTCCCTTCCCAAGGCTGGCCCTGTGTCGCTGGCCAGGTGAAAGTTTTGGAGAACATCTAAATCAAGAGACCAAAGATCGCTTCCGCTGGTAATTTACTAGTTGTGTAGTCTGGAGCAACAAGCTTTCTGGGCCTCAGCTTTCTCCATCTGTAACTCAGGACTCTGCAACATTTTGAAAACCACCTTCGAGCAGACCAGTTGCAGAGCTTCCTTCCGCCCCATCTGCTGGTTCGTCTTTCTCTAAGGTCCTGTGCCCACTATCCAGCAGAGATCACGCTCCGCAGTGACTCTCCCTAGTGTCAGCATCCTTATCTTGAGGATGGTAGTATTTTTTCTTTTTCTTTCTTCTCTGGGTATCTCAGGATTCCTAGCGCGTAGCAGTGGTTTGAGCACAGAGGCCTGGGTGCCGCCCCAGTCTGCCGTTTGCAAACTGTGTGCCGTGGCAGCTGGTTAGGCCACGCAGCCTCAGTTCCCTCGATCAGGATATTTTCTCTCAAAAAGGTTGAAAAGGGATCACACAAGAAAGAGAGTGCTTTGTTAAAATGTACATCAGTTGAGATGGCAGACTTGTATTTCCCTTCTTGGATTCATGAGAACACTGAGAACTGCCGTTCGGCTCCTGCTCTCAGCAATAACATTATATTGGAAATGTGTATTAACATTTCCAGTGCTAATACAGTGAGAAAACAGGTCTCAGGTTTAATTTCCCTCCAGGGGAGTGAGGGGACGAGTCACTGAGCATTTTCCTTCTGCTGTTTCAGGCACCCCTGTGCCTTCTATGCCGGCTTTTCAGAAGGGACAGACTGCCCTGCAGACAGTAAGTTCAACACTACATACGTCAACTTGGCGGCAGCTACTTCTCTGAACACGGCTACTTCCGAGCCCCTGAGCGTGGTGTCTACCTTTTTGCAGTGAGCGTTGAGTTTGGCCCAGGGCCAGCGCACGGGCAGTTGTGTTTGGAGGTCACCGTCGCGACCCCAGTCTGTACCACGGGCAGAAAGGTGGAAGCACAGCCACCACTTTCGCCATGGCTGAGCTGCAGAAGGGGGAAGAGGGTGTGGTTTGAGTGTAACCCAGGGATCAGTAACAAAGAGAAGCTGCCGGGCACTGCATTTGGCTGTCCTGCTGTTCAGACCTGAAGCCTGTCCAGCTCTGGCTAGACATCATGGACTGCCCAGCTCTCCGGTTGTGGAGCCACCGGCTGGTCTAGCTCTTCCCTGGAAACCTTCTGCAAAGACACTGTGGGCGTAGGTGGCCTCCCTCTAGCCACACTGGGTTTTGGCTATTTCTCAGTGAGCAGGAGGACTGGAAGCTTCTCTGGCAGGACCTGGGAGTCGGCAAGTGTGGACCTGGGCGTGGCGTGCGCCTCAGACAGCCCGGCATGCACGCCAGCTCTGCTGCGCCTGAATTCTAGAACTGCTTGGTTTTTGCTCCTCCTGTGTGGAAGACTTCCGTACAACACTTTAATCTTTCTCTTGCTTCCTCTTCTCCCTAATCATCATGCTAGAAAAGCATTCTTTCCCAGAAGGAATGCTAAATGGAGTGACATTTTGGTCTATACTGGAAACTAGTCTCCAGCCACTGCAGGGGCAATAGGATTAACCAATCCCTTTGTCTCTGTCGGTCAGAATTGGAGACAAAGGACTGTTGAGTAACCAAGGGAAAGGAGATTATATCTGTTCCATAGTTTCACATTCCTTGTATTATCTGTAATTTAATTTCATGCTTTTTCCTTGCCTGGCACAGGAGAAGGGTAAGGCATGCCAAGCAACTAAATGTGTATAGCTGTCATTTACTTCCCCCAGTATCTTATGACCACCGTCATTTTGTTTAGCATCTCTAACCAGGAAGGGAGCTGAGGGAGAGTGATGGAAGAGATCTCTCTCAATAACTGATCAACTTGGATAAAGCAATGCCCTTCAAACCTCTGCCTCATTTACTTCTGGAGAGCAAAACATTGGTAAATAGAATATAAGGGACAAACTGCTGTGGGGTAA